CATTCTCATTATCGATTTCCTATCAACCTTATGAATCGATTGACATAGAGGAATTATGTAATTGTTTCTTTTCAGTGTGGATATCTTGCTAGGACGTCAAAGAATGCGATACCTTCTCGAGGGTTCTGGTTGGGAGTTGGACAATTTATTGCTTGCGTTATTATTTTACCATATTTATTTCTCGAGCATCCTACTAATTATCATTATATAGAAATATGTCTAGCATGCGCATGTTGTTATTGTTATTTTAGTTATTTATATACTCATTGTTATTTTGATAGATTTTTTATTAGTGAGTTCCTATTTATTGTGAATGTTAATATATTTATTGTAGATAGTATTTTAGTAGATTATATTTATTAACTTTGTATATAATTTAGCTTATAGATATAGTTCCATGTATGTTGAACAACATAATATACTCGCAGAAGCTCGATGGTAATTATTCATTATTTTTCCTGGCACCCTTCTTACAATCACCAAAAAATATTTTTTATTCAAATTGGTGACCTTACAGCTCCGTAGCCTCCTTTGTTAGAATTAAAAACACTTTGTTAATTCACACTCAAACCTTATCCTGCAATGTGTACTCTTTTTAGAGGTAGAAGAGCTTCTGTTGGAGCATAAAAGAAGATTTGCGAACAATAGAACGGATTTGTAACACATCATAAAAAATTATTTATGGTTCTCGTCATAAAAACAATTAACGGCTAAGAGACCGTTATGTGCAATAAACATAATTGCAGCTAGGCGTGAGAAGTAATAAAGTAATGTCCCGGCTTCTGTTTCAGAGTAAAATGTCCCGGAAAGGTATTTATTAGCCGAGAGTTAACGGGCTCTCTCTAAACTCTAGCTGGAGAGTGTCCGCCAGGCACATAGAGTTTCTTTCATTTCTTAATTGAACGAGTCCGGGCTTAACAATCCTGCAACGGGATTGTGCGGATGGATTCGCCAACGTGGCAACGCCATTGTGCAGCTATAATGGAACTTTGTGTAGGAATTTAGATTTTTTATAAATTAGCTTCGAATAGAAATTTAATCAAATCATGCTATTTACATTTATATTTAAATTTATACACAGAGTATCCCGTTGATAGACAAATATTTAAAGGTGCGATAGTTACAAAAATGTTTATATACAAAATAGTCTGATTTTCCGTAGAAAAATAGGAAATTGTAAGTTTTATGTTTTGTAAGTGAAAACTTCATTAGGCGCGCTTTGCAATTATTTGTGGAGAGTGAATTAGATTGAGCAGTCAGATCTCCGATGTGTAACGCTCGGGTAAAGTCGCCTTCAGACGACTAATAGAAATTTTTTTGGATATGGATTAAAATATCTCGGAAACTAAGAATTCAACCAGCATATCGTTAGCGTGGAAAATCTTAATCATTTTCATTTGTAACAGGCTATTATTCAAATTTGTATCTTAACGCGACGCACGCCATGTTAGAGAGGCGAACAGAAAAAAATAGTTCCGAAAACCAAATGATGACGAGTTTAATGGATATGGATTAAAATATCACAGAAAAGAAAAATTGGACCTGCGAACTGCAAGCGACGGAAATGTTCATCCTCTTTATGATGAGTTATTATATAATTTATATTTAATTTTATTAATCTCACCTTGTTGATGTTTTTACTTCTATCGTGTGGTGTAAAGCACACACCTTAGTTTTTTTTTTTTTTAATAAGTCACGTTTTTAAATATAAATAATGAAATAAAAGTTAGTTCAGTTTACCGACCTATATGTTCATGTTGAAATGTTAATTTAATTGTTTTGTTTTTATGAATGGTTCATCATAACGTTGAAAAGATGAATTCAAAATCTTATCACTGCTTTGATATGAAAAAAAAAATCTATATTTTATTGCATTTGCCAACTACAGCAGTAATTTAATATTTTTATCATAAGGATGTATTATAGCTATTTTGATTTGTCAATATGTTCTCATGTTTTCCATTTTGAGTAGTATTTTTCCCGAATAATATGAAAAGGAGTGCATTTTAAATCTGTTTTAGAAATCCTAAAAAATAATTATTGCAGGTTCTGAGATGTCTGATATACTTCAAAGCAGGAAGATTATTTTTGTCTCAAGCAAATGAAATATTTTTATATAAATAAGAAAAGTCATTTTAGTAACTATATGGTCATGCGAAATAGTTTCGTTCGACCAGCCCTAATGAAGATCTGAACTTTGAACCGAAACGTCGGCAAAAATAAAAATAAATATAATTAATTATTTTTACTTTTCTTTTTTGATTGATCACCCCAACCATTATTCTCTTCAATAAATAAGAAAGTAAATTCTTGAAAATAGGCAAACAATGCCCAAAGTATCAAAAAGGAAAAATGAACAAACAAAGGTAGTTTTTTTTTCAAGTTGGAAGGTTTAATTGGATATTTTTTTATTATTTTTTTATTTATGATATTTACAACTGTATTAAGAAAGAATACATTAAGTAAATGTGATAACAGAAAATAAAAACATGAAAACACTTGTTGAGAAACTACCCACTGGTAGCACTAAAAAAAAAAATGTATTTACAATAGAAGATTTCGAGGCCATCTTCTTTTTAGACGCTTCGGAGGGTTATCAGGGATGGGATAGGAATCAAGATTAGAAACGAGAGGATTCGGATGGTTCTGAAGTTTATTATGGAATGATAGGTATCTGGATTGGGCCAATTCGGAAATATAAGGGACATCAAGGTCTTTATGGATGATTTTATTTGCGACAAAGTAGGGAACGTTGAGGATTTTACGAAGGATTTTGGGTTGTAAAGATTGGATGCGTGTGGAATTCGATGTCTTTGTGGACGCCCAATAATTGGATATGATAAAAAAAAAACAGGTTTTTATTCGGGGAGGAAGGTCCATATACAATTCAATATTCGATATATAGGACAGGGTTCCACAGCTTCTGCCTTCAACCAAGGATCTCTTTAGGGAAGCCAAGAACCAAAAAATATGCTGTGGATGAAGCTAAATCCTCAAAACCCAGGAGCTTCGATGATGAAATATAAAAAAAGAGCCCTGAATAGCACGTTACATTTTGTGGTTATTTTCTCTTAATAAAATAAAGTTTTGACGTAAAAAATAAAATAAAACTAAAAAGTTACTACGTTACCTCAACCTCAAATCAAAGGTTAAAACATTACGACTTTTTTGAAGGATAAAATTGATTTTTTCTCATTTGGTGGTGGTAGGAGAGTTATTAATATTTCCAGCACTAGTAAATGAAAAAAAAAAGTGAATTTAAACATTAGCATCCCTTCCTATATAATTTTAACTATTGTTTCAGAGTATTATGTATAATTGAATGTTAACAACCACAATTTCAAATATCTATTCAAAGGGTTACTATATAGTTCTAAGGAAAACCATTATATAAGTATCAATAAAGAAGAACGAAGACTATAAAAACAAACCGCAGACCACATTTATAGCGGAAAAACATTAAAATTAATATCAGAGAGAGAGTGGAAGGATAAAAGCGACCCCATGTTGTATAATGACGGCGTCATGTGCAACTCATGTGGTCTTTATGTGCTCATGAGCCTTTGAATGCACAAATCAAACACTGAGGTCAAAGGATAATATTCTATGTCTAAATTTAAGATTATGACCATTGCTATACTAATGCAACATATTCATATTGAATACTACTTTGAAAGCAAAGGTACAATATTTCTTCTTATCTTCTTTAAATTAATTATTATTCATTTTTTTATTCGGTTAGGAAGTTAGTCTGTGGTCTTAATAAAAGTTTAAAAAATTAGCCAGTTTTAGGGTTTCATCAAGGGATGAGGAAAGTCAAGATAGCAACCAAACAAAAATTATTACAAAAACATAAGAAAACAAAAATAAATATTATCTGCTAATAAATAAATTGTAAAAATTGAATAAAAGTAACGCTATGTTAGATAAATTAAATTTTATATGTATTGTACGTAACGTGAAGGCATTAAAATATATGTAAAGTATAAAGTAGTAAATTTTAGAAATTTTTAATATAAAATGAAAATGGACTGTGTGATAAAATATAAAATAAATACCAATGAATCAGACTAGTACATGAAAATAGTGAAAAAAACAAATTAATAATGAATGAATGAAAAATATAATGTTATAAATGGTAAAAAAATAATGTTATAAAAAAATAATAAACAATGAAATAACAATGAAATTAAATGCAGTATTAAGTAATATAAATAAATCGAAGAAATAAGTAGACAAATAAAAATAAAAAAGATGAGGTAATTACTATGAGTTCATGACATAATATGTCCAGTAGAAATGAAATTAAAAAATAATTAATGATAAGAAATATTATTTTTTTTGATTTTGATACCAAGCGAGTTTTATTGGCAATTAAAAAAAAAGGAAATAATTAAGTGTTAATAGAGTACTAAAACAATTACATAATAATTTTTTTTTCCAAATGATTCAATCATAATATTGTGAGACAGTAAATAATAATTAAACCAACGATTTAAAACAAAATATTAGTAAATATTAAAAGAAAAGACATCTAAAATAAGATTAAACTGGAAATTCATTCAAAGTTTGTTAATAAAGATAAAACTCGTCTTGACTATAATAAGAGTCTCAGGAGCTGAAGATAAACTTCTATAAGTTTATGGTGACTGAACTGGAAGAATATTATGTTTGGGCACAATAACATTTCAACAAAATGAACAACAAATATCGATATATTTAGATATAATTATGATTCGAAGAATATAATTGAATTATAATGGAACTATCCTTTTATAATACATTTATCTAATTTATTATTTTGAATTTATTATTTTAATCTATTTATTTTGAAATTAACACGTAATTAGAAATTAAAAAGTCTCTACCGCTATACCGTTGAATTGAAATAACTGTTGAAAAATAACATGCTCATGTCGGCAATATTTTCTGAGGTTTCTATAATAAATAAATGTATTAAAATATACAATATTGAATTAATACAATAAATAAATGATTACCTGACGACTGTCCTAAGCAGTGTGGACCTAGCCTCGTTGTGGAAGGTGATGATGACGCTAGTTTGAGGTAAGTTTTTCTTATAACTTCTCGACTTGCACCTGTGGAATTAGGGAATATATATTAGTTTTGTCATGAAATAATAAATACATTTTTTTTTTAAATTTCTTAATGACATTTACAACTGTATTACAAAAATACATCAAGTAAATTTGGACATAATAGATATAATGACATGAATACACTTGCTGAGTAACTACCCAATGGTAGCACTCTAATGATATGACTACATTAGGAGATCATGGGGCCATCTTCTTTTCAGACGCCTCAGAGGGTTATCAGGAATAGAAGAGGAAGCAAGGTTAGAAACGAGAGGGTTGGGATGATTCTGAAGTTTATTATGGAAGGATAGGTATCTGGATTGGGCCAGATCTGAAACATAAGCAACATTAAGATCTTTATGGATAATTTTATTAGTGACAAAGTAAGGAGCATTGAGGATTTTACGAAGGATTTTGGATTGTAAGGATTGGATGCGAGAGGACTTCGATGGTTTAGTGGAGCCCCATAGCTCAACTCCGTAAGTCCAAATAGGTCTTATATAAATAAAATTAAAAAAATATTTTGTCATAAAATAAAAATAGTTTATAATTAAAATAATTTTTGTTAAAAATATTCGACTAAAAAAATAGTCATAATGATGTAGAGATGGTTGACCTTGATGTAATATGAGGAGTTGGTCGGGACCTGATATACCAGTATATCAACTGCCTCCTGCGGTGCCACATGCCACGCACTGATGAAGACCTGCAAGGTGGGTCGAAACGTCGGCATAATAATTAAAAATACTATTTTTTTAAAATTTTAGTATTTCTTTGACCGCATCCCCCGACCAACTCCTCATAAAAAATATTCATAAATTCAAAATCTATAATTAAAAAAAAAGTAAAGGATTCAATGAAAGAATTGCAAAGAATTCAATTTAAATTTTGTAGTAAAATACCAAAAAATATTTATTTATTTATTATAAATTTAGTGTTTTAAAATATTTTTAACTAAAGACAGATGGAATTCTATTCCAGCTTTAATTCGCAATACACCCTTTCCACGCTTAAATCCCTTTTTTTCATACATCCAGGGTTAACCTACAAAAATCATAAATATGTACATATTTGAAAATCATAATTATCTTACATTTTTTTTTTGTTTCTTTCTTTTTAAGTGTGAAAAAAATTTTTATTGGTCATTATATTATGAGAAATATTAAAATTTTATATTTAAATAAATATTAAATAATCTGATAACGGTATATTAATGTAATTTATATTTTTTTAATGTTATGATTGACGAATTTATACCACTGAACCAACTGTCTTTTCAATCACTTTAAGAATATTCTGAAAACCGAACAAATAAACTTTATTTATTTTACAATAAATATCTAATGAAAAAAATGTATTACTTCATTCTTATAACTTTTCACCTATTTGAAAATCGAGAATGTAATACACGATTTAAAAAAAAAAAAATTCCCGTTTCCATTCGAATGACCGTTTTATTTATTTTATTTTTTTAATTGCTGTAGAACCACATTTATCCGGAATAATTTATGTATGTATATATATAATTTCAATTATGAATTTTTGATAGAATTGGGTTTGTAATACTATTTTGAAATAAGATATCATAGATATAAATATCGGGGTTTGAAATAAAATTGTAACAGTTTCGACATGACAGGATTTTTTTTTTTTTCAAATTTTTTCTGTTATATTGAAACTATAATCTATAACAAACTTCAACTTAAAAAAAATAATAATAAAAGTTTCAACACTTGATATAAATAATAATTTTCGGTTGCAGTGAAAAATATTAATATAAAAGTATGTACCTAAAGAGAAAAAAAATGTGTATAATTCGGGTTTAAGATATGCGGATAAGCATCGTTCAATTGTATTTTTGTGAAATGTAGTGTTAAAATTAAATATATGATTCATAATAATTTATACATCATCATTCTACAGCAGTTCTATGACAGAAAATCGGAGCAGGCATGCCTTAGTCGTTATTAGAGTTAGTAGAGCATTACTATATACAGCAGTACTGTTATAACAAAAGTGCTCTATCAAACGGTCTGTTAGGTATTATAACGACTATTTATACGGTCTATATATTTATTCTGATAATATTGTACTGATAAAATCATTCACTAAACTATAAATGAAAACGTGTTTATTTTTTCTTAAGATATCCACAACCACAATCCATAGAGAGTGAAAAATTCCGCTTATCCAGGATATGTGCGTATTTTATAAAATATATTGATATAATTTTTATATAAAATATTTTCTACCATAACTTCTGTATTAACATTTATATTATAAATTTACGTTATAAATATTTACATTATATTTTTTCTATCGTGCCAATTCTTAATTTTTTTAAATTAATAAATATAATAACATAAACATTAATAACATATAAATATTTAAAAAGTAAAGGATTTATTAATGAGGAACCTGAGGCATCGCGTCCTAGATCAGTATGTAATTTTTAAATTTATCTGAAAATTAATAGAAGTTAAATATACCTTATACATAAAATATATATTTACTTATACAAACAAAAAAAAGTAAATAAATAAGGTATTGCAGTAATACTTCACTGAATTACTTATTGGGCTCTTTGCTATGTAGCATGCTGTACATAATTGCTAAAGGTTTCCACCCATAATTTTTCTCTTACCTCACTATACATACGAGAAGCCTAAGAAAGATTATAATATAATAAAAGCAGGGAATATATTCTTTTTCATCCGATTTACGTAACGAGTAGTTATTGTTGCAATATTGCAATATAAAATAAAAATCATTCAATTATGGTGTAACAGCATCAACAGCACATAAGCCAGCACCGATAGAAAAAATAGAATAATTACGTTTATCATTTTTTCCCCCAGTCCTCTGAGCTATGTATTATTGCGGTCAAATATTTGCTAAGATCCATGACACTTATAACATATTAAAACTTTTTTTATCATGACTTCTTTCGATAGGATCTGTGGCGAACGGAAAGCAGGTATCTCCAGACTTTCAAAATGTTTTGTTAGTGTGTAGAAGCACATCAATAACAATTACCTCCGATAAAATTTAATCAGATACATATCTTGGAAGAAGTAATACATTTTCAAAATAGCTCCTAAATTTTTACAAAATCTCATAAAGCTCGAAACCCCAAGTCTGTCCATCAACCGAGAAAATGTCTTCTATACTTCTTATTTACTTGAATTAGGCTTTACAGACTTTTCCCTACCGTGACGTCCAATCTAACAGTCTCAAGGCGAATCTCGGAGTAACTATATATTTAATCATATATTTTTTATAACATAATATTTTTTTAAAATATAATCATTGTTGAAAATATATTTTATAATATGTCATATATTTAATAATTCACCAATTCAAATGACTTTCATGCTAAACGCCACCTCCCAAATTTACATAGTGGAATTTTTTTTTTATAATGCTAATTTTGATTTTATATGTATGCCTACATACATACATACGGCAGTTATTTTTCCAAGTGTTACTTCGTCTACTAATTGGTCAACAGTGACCTATATCTCCACCATTATGATTATATTATTAGTATGATGCAACATAGGTGGTAAACTAAGGTTTAAATCGCCAATTAATATTTTATCTTCTATGGGAAATGCGTCAGCAAATGTCAAATCTATAATGATGGAGCTATAATATGATCCAACTCTTCGCTCATCTTAATTAACCTTTTGTTTCGCGGCCAACCCAAAAGGGTACTCTCACCATTTTAGTTCATCATAATTGAACTTTAATGTGTAAGTGTGTATATATATATATATATATATATATATATATATATATATATATATATATAGAGAGAGAGAGAGAGAGAGAGAGAGAGAGTGTGAGAGGAGCAGACATAAAATCATAATTGATTCCGGAAACGGAAGGAAATGATTCGTTTGTGTTCCATTGTTTTCTAGGAACATTAATCAGCCTTGAAGTAATATTTTCATACGAAGAAATGTCATTATTAAAAGTAAATTGGGTTATATTTTATAAGACATATTTTTTTTTTTTTTCCTGTCCCTCTGAAACAAAATAAAACATGAGATCAGTGTCATATTCGGACCAATGTACTAACGGAACGATACTCTGAATTACATTTTCTACCTGCGGTATTTATAATGATTTTGGAAAGATATCTCTTCCTGCCCACTTAAGGTCTTGTTAAGGTGTTTGGAGTTGAGGGTCCACCGCTCACAGACATATTGAAAACTGTCTGGGCATTGAAATAATTCCTTTCAGATTAATCTGACGAGATCGAACCAATATTATTCTGTTATCAGATTCCACATTAATAGAAAAGATGCCGGAAGTTTGACTCATAATGATTACAAGTCCAGTGTTGCCACATGGAGTATTATGAATAATTGAAATTTTATCTCTCTATTATTGTATATAAAAAACTTTTTATTGGCTGTCATATTTTATTTTAAATATGCAATGCGGGACGGACCGTAACGAACATACCACCAGGACGGACCGTAACGAAGACACCACACTTCCTATTCCAAGAATTATTTCTCCCTTATTATGGTTACGAATTGGCAATAAGAATAATTATAATAACATAAATTGACAATCAAGCGCGATGTATAATATAGATTTTTAATGAAATTAAAATTTTATCTCACTGTGGTTTCGTTTCATTTATTTAATGATATAATACAATACAATAAAATAAAACAATCTGAACTACAGAACACATATAAAATACAGTTATACAATTTGAGCAACGAGTAGTAAAACTAAATGAACAGTTGTATAATTTGTATAATGGGGGTTGGTCCACCGTTAGGCGGGCGGGAAGTACTGGTCTAGTAATTATTATTTATTTTAATTATTATACAAGTTTATATACTCCAGTACTTTTTACATTTTATAGCTGTTATTTTATTATTCGTTACCCTCATGAGCGGAGATCCTGTTAAAGCAACAAAATTTAAATCGCTATAAAGTTTTAAATATGTAAAACATAAAAGAAACAAATAGGTAAGCAAGACT